CATATATATGTATATATATATGTGTGTATAATATAAAGTTTATATGTATATGGTAATATATTTTCTTATTTTTGCATTTACTTTTAATTTATGAATACCTATGATGTCACTATTATTTATTTGCCTTTCTGGCAAGTAAATGGTTAATATTTGAAAAGTGTCATTATGAGTGGCTTGTTGTATAGATGTCATTCTCACGTGTGAATGAGAAACACATCAGATGGGTAGGGGTGGGTCAAAAGCTAGAATGTTGGAGGTAATTTATCCCTAGGAATCTGGATCCCTCTGAATGAGGGAAGTATGAAAATAAGGAAGTCATCTTACAACATGGCAAATGCTGCTAAGAGATGTGACTATTTTTCTATTATGTGAATAACCAATTATTAAATTAGAATTGGGGTTTTCCCTTTCTATTTCCTCATTCAAGACTAGTTCCCCTTGGAGGTCATTCAGCCATTCTCTGCAGAACAAGGGTGATAGATTAGATTGGTTAAATCCTCTGGGTACATGTTCTGCAATCTTGGGCAGGACCTCACCCAACTAGAAGACCAAATTTCTGTTTACAGTGATCTATACAATCTACACAAGCTGTATTCCAGCCCTAAAGCACTGAGTCCATGCCCTTGCACCCCTCCCCTGTAGTCTAGGGGAACTCAGCTTATGAAGGAGAAAGTCAACCAGAGTGATCTGGGTAGAAATGGATTCCTTTGTCCAGATTGCTGGAGGTGGCTGAATCTCATGATCAAGTCACATTCTCAGTAGGAGCAGTTGATGACTTTTCACCTACTCCCTCATTAATACGTCCACCCCCTCATTAACTTTTCACCAATCAGAACCAATTTTCACTTGTCAGAGGCACCTTCTTATCCAAAAGTTTTTAAGCATTCAGGGATCTCCAAGGTTTTGTCTTTGGTTATGGAGAGAAACCACTGACCACCAATGTGTTGATTTTCAGCTAGCCTAACTAATAAAGTGATTATTAATTACCCAGAAACTCTATCTCTTGGGCTTTCCATTTATCTCACCACAATGCCTGGGTGAGAAGAATTCAGCCACTAGACTTCATGAGTAGTTATTAGATGCCTCACTGATGCATACTCCAGGTACATTTTGGAGTGTGTGTCTAGGCATGGTAGCTCAGCACACACAGACACACACAGACACACAGAATATATTTGGGGAATGATGACTATTAAATTATGCTCATACTCTTTGAAAGTTCTAGGAAATATCCATTAATGGTAAATATGCCTCCCCTCTCACCACACTAGGTTTTGAGCCCCCATCCAACAGGTAGCAAGAGAGCAGAGAGACCCAGAAGAATTATCAGTGAATTCCACATTGTACCTGCAGTTGGTTCAGGTTTCAATTTCATGTAAGAAGCTGCCCCTCCCAGGATTAATCCATCACTTCTAATCTCATCACTGTATTGGGAAGTCAAATCTAAACTCCACCTCACTCAGCCCTTCTGATTGGATGGAGGGCTAGAGGGTAGAGCACTGAACTCCTCCCCAAACCTTCCTTTATGAAATTGAACTTTAAGCTCATTCCCCTTTGCATCTGCAGCTCTGCCAGCTTCCAATTCCACAGAACAGGATGCCCCATGGTGTTGCTCCCCTCCTCATACTACCTTTCCAGACTTCTTTTGTGTGTTATCTTCCCCCATTAGATTGTAAACTCCCTGAGGGCAGAGACTATCTTTTATCTGTTGTCCTTGTTTTTTTCATTTGTATCCTCAGTGCTTAGCACAATGCCTGGAGATACACAATAAAAGCTTATTGAACTGTTTAATGACGCATCAAGTACATTGTTCTGGAAGGGACAAATAACATCAAGGCTTCCAGTCCAGAATTTTGAGTTGCCCCAGGCACATATACTCCCTCATGGTGTACCTCCATGCTATGGTTTTGTAAATTGGTGTCCACAGGGCCCAGTATGTGGTAAGTACTCTATAAATGCTTGTTGACTATTCCCCATGGACTTCCCCTGAATTGGAAGGAGAGTGTGTCCCAGATTTATGGGTGGAATGTTATGTTTCTGTTGGTCTTGCTTTGCCTTGTATATATGAAATGTTATATCTTGGCTGATTTGTTAAATGATGAGTCTCTGAGTGGGGAGTTAAGAAGTTATAGTTATCAATAATAAAATGGTAGTATAATTTGCCCACACTAGGGTTACCTCTAAATCCCTGAGAGTGACTCCTAGCATTGCAGGCCACTGTGAAAGCCCCTGTCCTGCCAGTGGGAGTAAAGGGAGGGGAAGAGAGAAAAGGAGAATTTGAGTGCCACACCAACACACGTCCCATACATTAATCGAATTAATCACTAGAAATCCAAACATTCCCACAGCTCACAAGTGAGGTTCACCATTACCATAGCTTCTTGTATGGTGAAAGTGAACCATGTTTACTGTACTGTCTGGTCCTAAATATTTTTCTTCTTTTCATGTCAGCTTTTGGAAGAGTCATACAAAGAAGGCAGGATGTTCGTTCGACTTGGGTCATCCATTTAATCCAATTCAGTTCACTGAACATTTACTAAATGATTATTCTGTACACTATGCCAGGTGCTGGGGATTCAAAAACAAAAAACAAAATTTTCCCTGCCTTCATGGAGCTTGTATTCTACTCAGGGGGACTGTCTCCTGCACCACTTTTGTTGTTCAGTTGTTTTAGTCTTGTCTAACTCTTTGAGACTCCAATTGGGGTTTTCTTGGAGAAGATACTGGTGTGGTTTGCCATTCGTTCTCCAGCTCATTTTACAGGAAACTGAGGTAAACAGGGTTATGTGACTTGCCCAGGGTCACACAGCTAGTAAGTGCCTGAGGTCACATTTGAACTCAGGTCTTCCTTACTCTAGCCCTGGCACTCTATCCACTGTGCCACCTAGCTGCCCATTGTCTCCTCATTTCCTATACAACAAATAGCTTCAATGCATACGTACTGGTGAAACTTTTATAGGGCACAACTTGTACACAATTGGCATGCAATGAAAAAATCATCTCCAAAGTGTTTTCTTTCTTGTCGTGTAGACATGGCATCAAACAGAAGAATGTCAAAAAAACATTTCCTCAAGGTTAAACTGCCAATCAGCAAAGCAGCAGGCCAAAGATGGCACAGAGGTCTCATGAGTCTCAGTTCAGTGCTCTAGCCACTAGACCAAGCTACCCCTACATTTCCATTCAATTATTCATCTTCCTGCTGAGAATTCTAATTAGTGCCCAGAGTGGTGATGGGCTTTCTCAGATCAACTTGAATTTTTTTTTCTTAAAAGGACAGATAAATCAACAACTTCCTAACTAATGGTGGCAGAAGAAAATGACCTAGATTCCGATATTTTTAACTTGATCTCTGAGTTTCAGAAATAGGTCCCTAAAGGTCTAAGTTTTTGGTTGAGGCACTAGTGATATCAACGTTCAATGGCTCCTTATTGTAGCATAAAATATCAGTTCCTCTGCTTAGCATTCAAGAAAAAAGTTAATTCCAACTTACCTCTCCTGCTTTACTGTACATTCTTTCTTCTTCCTCACACTGTCCATTGTAGCCAAAGTGGACTACTAGTTGTTCTCAAACTCTGCTACTCATCAGGTCTCCCACGCATGCATGAGCATGACTCATTTTCCATGCCTAGAAGGCAATTCTTCCTCATCACCACCTCTCAGAAGCCTAATCTTCCTTCCAGGTTCAGCTCAGATGATTCCTACACAAGTTTTCCTTGAACCTCTGGATTGTTAGTGACCCTCTCTTTATCATATTGCTTTATGTTTACTTATCTTTACACTCCTCCAACTCCATGGTAGAACCTAAGGTCCTTGAGAGCAAGGACTATCTCAGTTTTGTCTTTGTATTCCCATCACCTAGAATGGTGTCTTGCCTATAGCTGGCACTTAAATGTTGAAACGAAATTAAATATCATTCATAAACTACACATTATATATTAGGACCCTGTACCTTTCCTTGGTCCAAAGGGCTTTGATTTTCAGCCTTTACATTCTATCATTAGAGGTTCAAGGGAAGAGCTATACTGGAGACCCTTCTTTTGAAAATTTCAAATGTTTAAGCTATACAGCAACTCTAAGATGGGTAGGATGGTATAATGCATAGAGAGCTGGACGCAAAGGCAGGAAAAGCCTGGGTTCAATCCTACCTCTAATATATATTGGTTGTGTGATCCTGGGTAAATTACTTACCTTCTCAGTACTCTTGGTAACTCAAAAACTATAAGTTGCAGAGAATTGGTAAAGGGAGTTTCTCCACCCAGAACTTTCCCATACCAATAAAATCATAGACCCTGTCTCTATTTCTAAGGCAATTCTAGAAAGAAAACTACAAACTCAAGCGCATGACATATTTTAGTAGTACAAAACTAAAATATTTAATTTAAGCCACATTCACTAGAATTATTGCTATAGGTATAAAAAATAAGCTAAGGAAAAGATTACTCACCAAAGGCAACGTAAGAAGGTGGTTTAAACAAGTCATTACATTTAGAAATAGAAGATTAAGCAAGAAGGGACAAGTCTTATTGCTTAGAAGAGATAGCTGAATTTTAACAGAGAGAAAAGGTAAAACTAGTCCACTATCAAGAAAACAAAATTTAGTCATTGTTGATGACAAGAAACAATTGTCTTAGAGACGAGAGAGAGCCAAAGTTTTTGATCATTAGTTCATCAACCAAAAAGCTAAAACTTTAGAGACATATTTCTGAAGCTGAGATCAAGATATTTAGCCATGAATGATTCTAAAAGTACAATCCCTCAAAACCTTAAATTAGTATTTTGGATAGAATAAGGAACTGATAGAATAGATTTAGATTATATAGGAACTGGAAACATCATAAATTGGATTCTTGCTCTTACCTAAGTGATTTGATAGAATATACGAGAAGTTCCAATCATAACTAGTGTTTCGATAGGTTCAAAAGAAAGAACCACATTATTTGCAATTGACTGGCATGAATCTTGACCATCTACTTTTATTATATTAAAAATATAATACTCACATGGAATTTTATTCAACTCATTCATAAATTTCTCCTTAATCTTAGAAAAAGCATCTTCCTTCCCTTCTCCTGGGGTGGCTGGTTCGGTGACATTATGTGGGAGCACAGGTGCAGCAGTTGTCACTGGGGGGGCTGCCAGGGCCTCATGGTGACTCTCACTTTCTCTCACCATTTTGGTTCCAAGTAAAGCTGTGGGGGCAGGGCAAAGAGCAAAGAAAGAAAAGAAATTCAGAAAGCCTTAAAGTGATCTCACATCAAAGGTAAACCAAAGAGAAATATCAGTAGGTGCACCTGCTTACTGGATAAATATTGTATCATTAGCATATTACTTCATGTTGGTTCATGAAATATTTATTAAGTCACAGAGGAAAGCCTTTTCAAAAAGGTAATATCAGATGTAATAATTATTACTTCAACCCAACAATACTGAGTATGAATCGTCAAGACTCCTAACTCTTTAAGAACTGTCATGAATCTCTTGTATAGATTTACCTCCCAACTTGTCTCCATGACAAACACACACAAAGTTGTTCTTGGGGGAAGACAATGAACTGTTGTGTTTAAATACTGTTTATGCTCAGAGGACACCATGATGTTTACATTACAAATGATGATAAACCATGTAGTAAATTTGAAAATGCCTCATAGGCCTATTTAAACCATAACAGGGTAACAGTATTAAGGCAAGAGTTTTCTAAGCATGCTTGTACATTATTCAGAAACTAGGTTTTGACTCTCATTTATTGATGGGAGTTTTCCTTTCAGTCACTTTGTTTGACATTTACTATAGACAAAACTCTGCTAAATTATTAACTTGTCTTAGCATGCATTTGTGAAGCCACCATATCTGTAGCACAGCTGACTATATATACATTGCGGCACCTACAGTACTAATAACCAGATGTGTTAAAAATAGTTTTAGCTTTTTTGCTTGCTTTCAAGATGTTGGGAAATATTAATCAATCCTGATGGCATTCTTGCAAAATGGAAGTTCACTTGTATCACTGAATGTCCCCCCCCCAAAATACAGAAATGGAAGCAAGCCATTAATAGTTTAGAAAAATACACCCTGGAAATTCTGAAAGAGTATTCAGTGATAAGCGACTGGAAATGAGAACTGATCCTCATGTGTAAGAGCAAGACATGGCCCAGGGTTTGAACAGGCAGTTAGGAGAAGTGGAGCCTACTTTCATATAGGTTATTGTCTTACTGTGTGACTACAGATGAGTCAAGCTGTGGGACTATAATGGTGAACATGCTTTCAGGCAGGAAAAAAAAATTAGTGCTGGCAAGCCTGGGCAGTAGTATCTCCACAGTTCTTGCAAAAAAATGCATCTAGCATATAAATTAACTCTGCCTTATCAAGAAATATCAAGCTACCATCTGAATCAAAAGAAGAAGAAGAAGTGAATTTTACAGAAGTACAAACAACCTCAGTTTTGAAACTTCACATTTCTATCAGCTGAAACAATTTCAAATGTAATAGTCTTCTGGCAGAATTAAGAGATGAGAGAATTTCAAAACCAGTGAAATCTATAGTGAAATGTCATAGCTAGTATTTTCTAGGAGAAAGAGATGACTATATTTGCACATAACTGTTTGTTGTTTGCTATATTGTAAGTGTGTAATTTTTTTTTCTTATGCTTTCAGTATTATATTTATCACCATTGAATTTCATCCTGTTTATTTCTGCCCTCTACTTGTCAAGGCTCTTTGGGAAGAAAAGTGTCACATCTCTGGCAAATATTAGAGTGAATGAAGAAATTTTTAAAAATATTCAAATATAAAGCATGTCTTTTACCATTCTACAAAGTTTATACTAATTTTAACTTACAAACCATGAATATATTTATTAGTATTCATTTTTAACTTCTAGATCAAGAAGGTAGTCTTAGGTCGGTCTATGTCATGAGGCAGTGTTCTGCCATCTTTGGCAGTATCATAACTGGGATTTCCTCTCACACTTAGCCACAGGCAATACTGAAATGGCCCCTAATTGGATAGAGGTTGTTTTTTAGCTTTCCTGAATGGGGCAAGACCCCATTGATTTAAAGCTATGGTTCCTGTTGCCTCATAAGTACTGGATTGTGGACATGGCATTCAGTTCATCAGTGGGAGCAAGGAAACCCTCAATTCAAAATTAACTTTCACCAGAACAGTTTGGACTGAGGAATGAGGTGGCACTAGGAGCATGTGACCCAATCTTACCACAATTAGTAGGCAGGGATTCAAACAGTTCTTTGACCTTGACCTTGGTCTTCCTCCTTTCCTTTCAACCAAAGAGTTTGCTTTTGGACTGTTCTCTAGTTTTTCTTCAAACTTTGCTCTCTCCCTTTTTGGGGAATGGAGCAATGGAGGACAAAAATGGAGGACAAAAAATCCCAACTTCTCTTCAAGCAGAAATGGATAGAGACTACTTTTCTGACATACAGAAGTCTTTTTACCCCCATTTCTTTCTTTTCTCCCTTCCTCTCTCTCTGTGTCAGTTTTTCATTCCCTCTTCTCACTCTCTCCTTCCTCCCCTCCTCTCTCCTTGCTTTCTTATTCTTTCCCTTTCCTCTTCTCTCTCTCTCTTTCATACTATTATGTACTGCTGACTCATATTTTGTCTTTCTTCTTTGTCACCCCTTGGAAACAACTCCTTCCATTCAGTCTTTGAACACTTCATCTTTGCTGTTTATCTAGAGAGTAGAGAAGATTGAAAATAATTAAGCACTAAAGACTAAGTGCTTTAGGAGTTAAGAGGAGAGGATCCAGAAAAATCAGAATTCACAGAGCATCCAGGGTACTACAAACTGATTCTTTCTTTGGGCTCATATCACACAAAGTCTCTATGTGATATACATATATTTGATAAGATTTTCTAGTATTTTATCAGTTGTTACAGCTAATAATACATGCGCTTGCCTGAACTACTATTTTATGGAGAACTCACATAGGGCGAGTGCTCACATGTTTCTCAGAAGAAGCAATACAAGGACACTCTCAGAGTCTCTCAAGAACTTTGGAGTTGATAGTGTGAAGCGGGAGACACAGGCATAGGACCTCCCAGCATGGCATGCCCTCATCAGAGAAGGTGCTGTTCTTTATGAGCAAAACAGAATTGAAGCAGCTCAAAAGAAACACGAGATGCACAAATTTAGAGAATCCACCCCAAATGTTACATGGACTATTTGTGCCTGACCTGTGGTGCAGCATTCTGAGCTCACATTGGCTCAATCTGCTATAGTCAGATGCATTGTACCTTGATTCTAACATAGTGAGGTCATTTTGGTCCTCTGATAACAAAGCACAACAACCAATCAACAGCTAATAATGTTTCTCAAGGCAATAATTCACATGCAAAGTTGAAAATGAAATTAAAGAATTGCAAAGTTAGAGATCCTAGGAGGTCTGACTTCTAACCTAATTGTAAATCCTGCCTCCAATACGCAGGACCAGTGTTCACCTAGTTTTCAATGTATAATACATAGTAGTAAGTAAAAAATTAAGTGCCCCAAATAAATATTTTGGAAGTATCTCCCTATCCATTATGACTTCTCTCTTCCCCCTCTCATCCTGAAGTTCGGATCTGGAAAGACATTTTTGCCTGACTGTGAATTCCTCCTACAGGAAGAATTTCCCCAATTCTGTGCCCTTACTTAGGGATCTAACCTCAAGGTGCCAAATCCTGGATTAATTTAAATCAAAGTTCTAGGGTTTTCTCTGCACTGCATAGAAATAATGTTATGCTTTAATGCTATGGATAAAAATCACATCACTTCCAAGTCAGCAGAAATACATTTTTATCTATTGACCACAAGGGACATTTCAAACCAATCTCCTGTTTTTTATCAGTTGTCTTCCTCCTCTTCAAAGCATAAGAAATACCAGGGGACATGTAGCTGAAAACTGAAGGGGAATCTATTCATTTGCTCTGGTGCTTGCTCAAATATGATGCACAATACTTAGCTCCATTAATTAGATATTTTGTGGAAGTAATAGTATGTTATGAGATTTTAAAAGGAAATCATATTCAGATTAAGAGTAAAATGCATCATTGACATTAAATTAAAGCTATAGTGCCTGACCGTGGTATTCCTGTTCTGGGAGTTGAGTATTATTGGTTGTGATGGAACATAAATAATTTCTATGAGTAAAATCGAGTCTCCTAAAATGTGACAGAAAACAATGGAATTGATTCCCTGATTTCTAGGGATTACATCTAGACAATATGCTTGAAGAGTATGTATTCTTAAAGGATACTCAAGTAGCTTTCTGAGGGCAGGAAAATAATATTTCTTTAATAAAAAATATAATTCTACAGATAAAAGGAATATTTGGCTGTCACTCCACTTAATCCAACTCTGACCCTTGTCATGAACTTTTGGCTCTCACTTGACAAAGGAAAAATTGTGACATTTTCTCCTACATGAGGAGAATATTGTGGGCTTATATGATGAAACATTTTATTGTAATGTAAATAAAAAAGAAGGCTTTTTATAAATGTCAAAGACTTCTATAAAGGTTCCCCTAACAAATATTATAACAGTATCCAGAATGGATGCAATAGTTCTATAGACAAACATGGCACTGTGGAAGAGGTACTGGTTTGGAAGCCTGAACACCTGAGTTTGAGGCTGAGTTTTCTACCTGGATGATCTTGGCAAGTCAACAACTTCTGAGTCTCAGTTTCTTAATCTGTAAAAGGGACGTAATGATGTGGTCACTACTATAACTCATGAATGGAAAGTTCTGTGCAAGCCATAAAAAGTTACATAAAGACAAGAATCTAAGCTTAAATTATACTCAAACTTGGTATGGTAAAATATGAAATTATATATGTAGATACATATACAGTCACTTTATTATATACATGTATACACACACATACACACATACTTTCAATACCACTTGAAATTATAATCAGCAGTGAATAACACTGATAACAAAAGGAGAGTAATTAATGTCCTAATATTTTTACCTTAATTCCTGATGCCAAAGAAGACATCTTCCTGAGTTCGAATGTGGCCTCAGACACTAACTGTAAGACTCTGGGCAAATCACTTAACCCTGTTTGCCTCCTCATCTGTAAAATGAGCTGGAGAAGGAAATGACAAACCCTTCCAGTATTTTTTTGCCAAGAAAACCCCCAAAATGGTCATGAACAGTCATGAAGAGTGCTGATCTGCATTGGCAGAGGGAATTAT